GCCCGGAAGTCGCACTCTGACTTTTTAAACTTGGTATCACCTAGATAAAAACTAAATTTAGATAAGTCAAATGATGAATACAGAATAAATATGAGCTTTTAGAGACAGGGACCATTTCTTAAAATTAAAACTAAGGTGTATGCAGAATAGATTATTACATAATTCAGTGGATGAGTAGAAATAGATGTAGAAAATAGGAATAATGATCTTAACCACTGGTGTAGAGTATGGGCTTCTAGTCCTGCCATAAATTACTGTAAGACCTTGAGCAAGATATTTGCCTTCTCTGAGACTGTTTCCTCATCCATAAAGTGAGAATTTATAATACCTACTTCACATAGTTGTTATAAAAATTAAATGATGTATAAGATTGTGAAAACAGCTAACACACAGCCTAGTGAGAATAAATGTTTGATAATACTTTGTTTCCTTTTTTTCTGTTTATTCTCTTATTTATGCAAAGTATTTCGTGTCTGGCATTATTTATTCTCCTAATAAGTCTAATGCTATGAAGCATAGTTTATCCCCATTTTACAAATAAGGAAAGAGGTTGAGTTACTTAGTCAAGGTTACACAGCTAGTTAATCGCCTGGTGGGGCTCAGAATTCAATACTTTTGCCTCTTACTCTGGTGCGCTTTTGACCTACTACCGTGGGGAATAATAGGGGTTTTTCTCTAGATAAGCTATTAAAATAGTTTAGAATAAAATGTATTCATTCAAGTCACTTTATTTATGGAAAACTGCTACTACTGAATTCCTTCTAGGAACTCACAAACTATGTTAGTGGGAAATTTAAATTCAGCATTACCTATAAAAGCTAAGCTGAAACATTTAGTTTTGTAAATGATTTCTTAATTTCATATAGAAAACAGCCATCTTTTTGTTAAAGCTTTTTTTTTGGTGTGATTCCCTCCTATTATATCTTACCTATTTATAAGCATAAACATTATTTCAAAGGCTATATCCTGACTAGATGTTTAAATAGTAGATTTGTCATTTCCCCAAATGGGCTGATTTATAAATTCAATTTTAGATCTGACATGAAGTCGTGTCAGCCTTCAGAGATGGAAATTACTGGTGGAATGAACTGGCAGCTGAATACCTGCACCTGTATGTCAACCATCTGGAATCCTATCCCTCCTGTCCCCAACATGGTAATATTTGTGATGTAATATTACCTTTTCTCTTTTTTGGTACATACATACAACATAGTAATTTGTGTTAGGGAAGTAGATAGAGCAAGAAATGTTTTCTTTTTAATCAGTTGTATTGTGCTAAGTGTTGCAAGATTTTCTTGTTATCCTTCTTTTACTGATTTCTAGTTTAATTCCTTTATGGTCAGATAAAGTATTTTGCATGCTTCAAATACTTTGAAATTTGTTAAATTTTGATTTATGATGGAAGATATGGTCTATCTTGCTGACCATTTCATAAGCAATTGAAAACAAGTATATTCTGCTGCTCTTGGATGGAATGTTCTATAAGTGTAAATTAGATCCTATTGGTTGATTGTGTTGTTCAGTTCTTCTATATTTTTGCTGATTTAATGTGTAGTCATTGTGTTAGTTACTTAGAGAGGAGTATTAAGTCCCCAGCTATATACTTGTGGATTCATCCATTTCTTCTTTCAGTCTGGCCAGGTTTTGCTTCACGTAACTTGAAGCTCAGTTATTTGGTGCATGCGCATTTAGGATTGTTTTCTTGATTGATTGACCCTTTTATCAGTACATAATGTTCATCTTTATCCTTAATTATTTTCTTTGCTCTGAAGTCTATTTTGTCTGATATTAATATAACAGCTTACCTTTGAAAAGTGTTTTCATAGTATATCTTTCTCCATTTTTTTTATCTTTTAAGTTGCCTATGTCATTGCGCTTAAAGTGTTTCCTGTCTTCAGTGTATAAGTTGGGTTACTTTTTAAGTCCATTCTGACAATTTTTGTCTTTTATTTGGTGTATCTAGACAATTTGCATTTTATTTCATTATTTGTGTTTGTATTTAGTTCTACCTTTTTATAGTTGTTTTCTGCCTGTCCCTTCTGTTGTTGCTGTTCCTTTGTTTCATCTTTCCTGTGTTTCTTTGGGTTCTTTGAACATTTTTTAGTATTCTATTTTAATTTATATATTATAATCTGAAGTATAGCTTTGTATATTTTTTCAGTATTTGCTCTAGCAATTAGAAAATACATACTTTTCAGTCCATTTAGAATCAGTATTTTAGTATTTCAATTGTAATGTAGAAACATTAACATCATGTAAGTTCCCTTATCTTCCTCCTTTTATGTTATGATTGTCTATACATACATTACATTGAAAAAAAACCCATTAGATGATCTTACACTTTTTGCTGTCAACCATCAAACATGTTTTATAGAACTCAAGAGTGGAAGAATAGCCTATTATACTTTCTCAGATATTTAGCACTTCTCTTGCTATTCTTTCAGTCCTGATATGCCAAGTTTGTTTCTGGTATCATTTCCCTTCTACTGAGGAACATCCATTAGCAATTCTAGTATTAGCAATTCTGGCTATGAATTCTCTTATTTTTCCTTCATTTGAAAATGGTCTTATTTCACTTCTGTTCCTAAAGCAGTTTTCACTGGATGTAGAATTCTGGATTGATAGTTCTTTTTTTTCAGCACTTAAAAATGGTCTACTTTATTCTGGCCCCCGTGGTTCTGATGAGAAAGTCCATAGTCATCTGAATCATGGATATTGCATTTTTCTATGGCTGCTTTCAAGATTTTTTCTTTGTCTTTCATTTTCATAAGTTTGATTATGATTTGCTTTGGCATGGATTGAGGGGGTGGTTATTCTGTTCAGGTTTGTACAACTTCTTGAATCTGCATTTTTAAAACTTGGGAAGTTTTCTACAACTATTACTGCACTCATTCTCTTCCCCTTCTGAGAGTCTAATAACACAAATATTAGACCTTTAGATGTTGTCCCACTGGTCTCTGAGACTCTGATTTGTTCTTTTTAATCCCCTCCCCCCTGTTTTTCAGAATGAATGATTTGTACTGGTCTATCTTTAAGTTCACTGAATCTTTCTTTTTTCCTTCCATTAGGTGTTTTTATTTCAGTTATTATATTTTTCAGTTCTGAAGTTTCTATTTGACTTTTCTCTGTATCTTCTATTTCTTGGCTGACACTTTCTATTTAACTTTTGTTTCAAGAGTGTTCATAATTGCTCATTCAAGCATTTGTGTAATAGACACTTTAAAGTCTTTGTCAGATAATTCCAACATCTGTGTCATCTCATCATTACTGTCAGTTGATGGCCATTTCCTATGCAAGTTCAGATTTTCATGGTTCTTCATGTGCTAACTAATTTTGGATTGCATCCTGGACATTTTGACTGTTAATTTATAAGACTCAAGTTCTTGTTAAATTATGGAGAATGTTGATATTTGTGTTTTAGCAGGCACTTAACCTGGTTAGGTTTAAGCTGTACATTCAGCCCACTTCTCTGGCCCGTGGTTCCAGTGTCTGCTCAGTTTCCACAGCCTTTGCTCTCCTCTTTGGGTCTGTCCTGCGTGTGCTCCACTCAGTGGTCAGCCTGAGCTCTGGGCTTTGGTGTCTCCACTGGCTTAGTATTTTCCAGTTTCCTGGGACTCCCAGTATCTTTCCTCTGGCCAAAAACCCCATTCATTTCCCTGATTGAAATAAGTCAAGTTTCCAAGCAGTGGTAGGACAGAGAGAATTAGAAAAACATTTTTTTTTGTCCCTCCCTTCGTGGAGCCACAGCTCCACCTAATGTAGAGTTCGTCTCACTCACATGTTTGGCTCTCCCAGTGTTCCTTTGCTGCCGCTGTAGCCACTGCCTGTTCAGTGCTACTTCGAATTCTGGTCTTCTTTCCTGATCTAACTGCTGACACTTACTTTTCAGAGTTTTCTGATAGCTGACCATGCATCTCATCCAGGTTTTATAGTTAGGTGTTCAGTGAGAGAGGAAGATTGTCTGTGCTTACTCAGTTTTAACTGCACTAGAATCCAATTTGTCTTTTAACCTGAGTTTAGTTACTATGTTTTTATGTGATTATGGATATATTTGGATATTTCTAGTATACAGTGTTTCACCCTATTTTTCTTTTTTCCCCTCTCATTTTTTGCCTTCTTTTGCAATGATTAAAATCTTTTTTCTCCTTTCATTTTTTTTGCCTCTTACCTTCTAAGTTATACTCTATTGCTATCCTTTTTTTTCTTTTTGGTTACTGTACAGACTACAACATACATAATCACCAAACTCTCTGAAACCGCATGAGGACTTCAGAAGATTTTATAAAACCCTGACCACACTCCCTGTTGATTTAATATGCTATTGTGGTAAAATATATGTAACATAAAATTTATCATCCTAACCATTTGAAGTGTACAATTCAGTGGCATTCAGATACATTCAAAATGTTGTATATCCATCACCACTGTGTATTTCCAGAACTTTTTCATCACCTCAAACAGAAACTCTACTCACTAAAAATTAACTTCCAATTGCTCCCACCCTCAGCCCCTGGTAACCACTTTTCTATTTTCTGTCTCTTTGAATTTCCCTCAATCAGTGGAATCATACAGTGTCTAGCTGTTTCTCATAGCATAATGTCTTCAGGATTCATCCATATTATAGCATTTATCAGAATTTAATTCCTTTTTAGGGCTGTATAATATTCCATTGTATGGATGTACCACATTTGTTTATCTATTCATCCACTGATGGACACTTGGGTTGTATTCAGCTTTTGGCTATTGTGACTAATGCTTCTATGAACACTGGAGTGCAAATATCTATTTGAATCTCTGCTTTCAATTCTTTGAGCATATACCCAGAGGTAGAATTGCTGGATCGAATGATAATTCTGTATTTAATTTTTTGAGGAACCACCATACCATTTACCACAGTGGCTGAATCACTTTATATTCCCACCAGAAATGCATGAGTGTTCCAACTTCCCAACAACCTCACCAACATTTGTTATTCTCTGGATTTCTTTTCTATTTGTAATAGCCATCCTGTTGGGTGTGAAGTAGTGTCTTATTGTGGTTTGATTTTAATTTATTTAATGATTATTAAGGTTGAGCATCTTTTCATGTGCTTAGTTTCATTTATGTACAGTCTTAGGAGAAATGTCTATTCAAAACCTTTGGCCATTTTTGAATTGGGTTGTTTGTTTTGTTGTTCAGTTGTAGGAACTTTTTATATATTTTGGATATTAATCACTTATCAGATATATGATTAACAAATATTTTCTTCAATTCTGTGGGTTGTCTTTTTACTGCCTTTATGGTGTCCTTTGATAAACAGATTTTTAAAATTTTTGATGAAGTCCAATGTATCTGTTTTCTTTTGTTGTCCATACTTTTGGTGTCATATCCAAGAATTCATTGCCAAATCCAATGTCATGAAGATTTTCCCCTATGTATTCCTCTAAGTTTTTTTTATAGATTTAGCTCTTAAGTTTAGGTGTTTAATAATTTTGACTTAATTTTTGTATGTAGTGTGAGATAAAGGTTTAAGTTCATTTTTTTGCATATAGATATCCAGTTGCCTCAGCATTATTTGTTGAAAAGACTGTTCTTTCCCCATTGAATGGTCTTGGCACCCTTGCAAAAAACCAACTGACTATATATGTGAGGGTTTTTTCTGTACGTGTCTTCAATTCCACTGGTCGCTATGTCTCTCCTTATGCCAGTACCACACTGTTTTGATTATTGTAGCTTTGTAACAACTTTTGAAATCAGGAAGTATACCAAATAGATACATTGGTCTTCTAACTTGGTTCTTATTTTTCAAGATTATTTTGGCTAGTTAGGGTCCTTTGAGATTCCATATGAATTTTAGGGTGAGTTTTTCTATTTCTGAAAAAAATTTATTGGGATTTTGATATGATTGCATTGAATCTGTGGATCACTTTGGGTAGTATGGTCAAATTAACAATACTAAATCTTCCAATCCACGGACATGGGATGTCTCTCCACTTTCTTAGGTCTTTTTCTTTAATTCATTTCAACAATATTTTGTAGTTTTCAGTGTATAAGTCTTTTGACTCCTTGGTTAAATTTATTCCAAGTATTGTATTCCTTTTGATGGTATTGTAAGTGGAATTGTTTCTTAATTTCTTTTTGGATTGGTCATTGCTAGTGTATTTAAATGTAATTGT